AGAAACTCTCCATGCAAGTGGGGGTCGACGACATCTTATCTGTCTGCTCCGTTCGTGGGACGTTGCAGATTTCGTGGCGCAGCGCAGAATGGGAGAACCGGGCAGACCTCCACAACGACGCGGAATTCGAGACGATCCGCGAGTCCTGCGAGCAGGCCCCGAGCCGTGCCACAGACAAGGGGCAGACAAGGGGAAGGGGAGGGGGAAGAATGCGGGTAAGTGACGGGGCCCGGAGGGAGAGGACACACTTGCACCTCATCATTTTTCAGCGCCATCGGCCTGCCCACGCCCACGTTCCGTTTCTGGTGCACAGAGAAGGCACATCACAGCTGCCACGTGGCACGTCACCGGCCTGGCCGACGAGAAGCTGTACACGCTTCGCCAAGGAATGCGTGCTGGGAGTATCGACTTTCTCTGCCTTCAGGAAACATGGACTTCTGATGCAGAGTACTATACGAGCAACGGTTACCAAGTTTTTTTCGTCCCGTTCGGAGACACCAGGCGACGAAGCCAGATCCAAATCAGGAGTGGGACTCATAATTGCACCACGCGCGGCATCTTCTATATGCGGTTTTCTGCAGCATTCCGACCGCATCGCATGCTTGAAGATTCACGGGTGCAAAGGCAAGCACGCGATCTTCACCAGCTACGTTTCGCACAACCTCCGACAATTGCCAGAGTGATTACAATTTTACTTGGACATGGAGAAATAAGTTAACGCAGTATCTGTAAACGGATGCAAGTCTATATTTGGAGACTTCAATGCCCAGCTTGGTCAACAACGATGTGGCGGAGAGCACGCAATTGGAACGCATACGCTTGGTTCCGAAAAAGCGCACAAAGTAGAATGCCCGAACCGTGATTTATTGATAGAGTTTTGCACGGCACAGCAATACAGCATCAGCAATACATCCCAATCAGTTCCCGATGATCAGCTTGTTACCTACATGGAGCCAGGCACCCAGCCCAGCGACGACATCCATCCGAACAAGTTCGCGTTGCTTGTTTTGCTTCTCGTGCCGATCGCACATTCTGACCGAGTACTTTCTGTTGCAAGCCGGCGAGAGGTAGCATTGGCCACGCGGCAATTCTTGGTGCGGTGCGAGCTTGACATCATAATCGAGGTGATTCAACCACGTCGTCAGCACAGAGGAAAGCATCGAAGCAGTTTGCAGAACCCTGGCGTGAGACAACAATGTGTTACGACGTTTGTGGGCATTTTGCAGTTCACCCGAGACGCCACAGACGTGATCGAAGACTCTTGGAAAGGCATCTCTGCTGCACTGGGGGTTGCAGGTGAAGGCTTGCCAGACGAACCGCCCAAGCCACGGCAACCTTGGATCAGCGCCCGAACAATGCAGCTTATTCAGGAAAGATCGCAAGCCCGAGTGGACGGCAAGTCCGAACTCGAGAAGGCGAAGCATAAAGCTGCGCGGAATTCTGTGCGGCAAGATAAGGCGAAGTGGTTGGAAGACTCTGTAGCGACGGGGGCGTGGAAAGATATTCGGAGCATCTGGAAGCCGCCACTAGCTAAGCAGGGCCAGATGCGGAACTTGCAGGGAGACCTGGTAAGCAGTGAAGACCGGGCTGACACCATGGTGACATACCTCGAGAAATTGCACTGGGGCGTTCGACCAGCCAGTGTAAATGACGCGCCGGCTCTTGGAGACACATTGCCGCAGAGGACGAGGTCAAATGATGTTTGCGGAAGCTACGCGACGGCAAAGCTCCTGGACCAGACGGCACCCCACCTGAACATTGGAAGGTACTCGCGGACAGCTCAGACGCCCTGCAACGCATTACGGATTTTGTCAAACATTGCTTGTAAGACAGGAGGGTGCCGCAAGAATGGCACGAAGCGGGGGTAACAACTATACACAAAAAGGGAAGGACAGACGATTGCGCAAACTATTGGCCAGTCACCTTGCTCATCGTTGGATACAAAATCTTCGCGTCATTATTGCACCGGCCCCTTGTGGAGGCGGGGGCCGATATCCAGGCTGACGGGATCGCAATTTGGTGTCAGGTCGAAGTACGGGACACAAGAAGCTATGTTTGCACTTTGTCGGCGAATCGATTTGGATCTTGGAACATCGAACGGTAATTTGTTCGCATTGGCCTTGGATTGGAAAAAAGCGCTTGGGTTCATCATCCCCTCCGCTATGCTGCGGGGGCGGCGATATACACAGACCGGCAGTTCGAGGTGCGAGATTGTGGGGCGACTTGGGGGCTTTGAATTTCTGGAGCAGGGGCCGCGAACAAAGAACTTTCTCGTCGTCTTGGCGCAGCGCAGGCTGATTTTGAGAAGCTTCCCAACATGTGGCGGCAATCCAGTCTCAGCAGGCATCGAGAAATCGAGGTGTACAACGCAGTGGTTCTTAGCACGTTGACGTACGGATTGTCGACTTTATGGTTGAATGCTGCTGCCCGGAGGCGGTTAGACGGCTTTCATTGCCGACGTCTCTGCGCGATTTGGGGCATCGCGCCAGCCTTCCTCTCAAGAGTGAGCAACGGAATTGTTTTAGACAAGACGGGACAATCCCTGTATCTGAGCTTGTAGCTCGGCAACAGTCCCTCCTGCTGGGGAAAGCCGCCAGGTCGCCCGAAGGAAGCCCCCTTAGAGAGGCCACCTTCTGCCGTGGATCTTTTCGGCCAGCGTCAGATAGGCACACAATGAAAGTTGGCAAGCCGCGTGCGGACTGGACGACGCAAGTGCTACACGGTGCGTGCGTAGACGATTGACTAGCGAAGCTTCCCGGCAGCAATTTCCCCGCACAGCATAACGCCGCGCAGCCCAATTGCAGTGTATATGTAGTACCGTGTGTTCCCCAATCCTGTGTCCTACGCACCTCCTGTGCATGACTTCTTGGTTGTTTGCTTGCTTGCTCGGAATGGTTGGTCCAGGACCTTAAAACTGTCGAAAACATCCAAGCGTCCAGCACCACCCCCCATTCCCCAGCGAAGCTTGAGTTTTACCCGCGGCTGGCCCAGCTTTATGGGCTGAAGTTTAGACGTTCCCCACCAATGCCGATTGACCCCGTGGGACCCGCCCCGAAACCGCCATATTGGGACGAGGTTTAGAAAGAGGCACCTGCGCTCAAAGATATCGTGCTCTCGGGTGATGGCGTTCTCGCTCAGCAAATACTCAACCAGTTGTACAAGAAGTGTGCGAAATTCTCGGAGAAGAAACTCATGGGTGCCACGGGCACCATCTTGCCATGCATAAGGGCGCGGGGCAAGGCACCACATTTGCAGTGGGTGCAAGCTCTCGATCAGGACCGTCGGCCACCCACCAGACACCTTGAATGTTATGTTTTGAAGTGGAAGTCGCCTGTCTAAAAAAATAGATTGTTCAAGTTACTCATCACCTGTCCATCACAAATCCTGGCGCTTGCACTCGCCTCGCACGGCCCTGGGGGGGGGAGGGGGATGCCTCCCCCAGGAGCGGACGGTGCGGACCCGACCCATCTGCCCCGCAGCGCGCGGCCTCTCCGAGGCCAAGCGGGCAGACGCTGGCCGGTCGGGCCCGCCCCAGGGCGGGCTGGGCGGGCCAACGACAGCACGTGGTCACTATGGACCTGACCAGAGGGCCCCATAGGGCAAGTGAACGCAGCAGGCCGCTATGGGCCGCAACGAAGCCACTATGGGCCGAACGAAGCCACTATGGGCCGAACGAAGCCCCAGCGGGCGGAGGGCCGAAACCCGACACACGGCACCGCATTTAAATCCCGCCCCAGTACCAGGCGGAAGAAGCACGGCACGGCACCGCACCACACGACGCGAGCAAGAGGCGGAAGCGGGTCGGCCAACGCGCGGCCGACCAGCCGAGCGAGGGCACCCCCGCGGCCAGCCGCGGGGTCGTTACCAGCGCGGGCGGATTTGTGCCAAACCATTTTTGGGGGCCTCCGCATCGGCGGCCACAAGGTCGGGCGCCCGCCGCGCGCCGCGCGCCGCGCGCCCGGCCCGCGGACCCCCGCGGCGCCCCAGCGCGTCCCCCAAGAGAGAGGTGGACGAGATGGAACGCAGGGTGCCCCCGTCTAGGGTCGGGTCTTTCACCGCCTTTCGTAGGGCCCCCCGTGGAAAGATGAATACTCGCAGCCCACGCCGATCCACCCTCCCACGTGCACCCCGAGATGGCGGCACCAGCCCTCAAAAAAGCGGGCGGCTGGCCCCCCCATCCCAAGGGAGACGCGCGGGGGTTGGCCCCGCGCGTGCGGCCAGCAAAGAGAGCGGAGAGCATGACAAACAACAAGAAGGCGAACAAGGACAATAGAGTGCAAAAGCAAATAACAAAAAGAAGGCAAAGCAGAAGCATCGGATAGGACATGTGGCATAGACCAGTACAATGCGCCCTGTGAGCGGCACAAGATATCCTAACAACGACCGCATCACGACTGTGAAGCAGGAGCAAGAAAACAAAAGGTGGAAACGCAGGAACAAATAGAAAGTGCAATGGCCACCAGCACAAACACTGCATGGTAAAGAACCGAAGGAAGCAATCAATCAAATATGTAAGCATAAGCTGTGATGAGGGCCAATTACAGAAAGGGGCAGCTGGAAGAAGAAGAAAGGCACGAACGGAGGGAGGGGCAGGGAACGGGAAGGGGGGAGGAAGAGGGGAGGGGGAGGGGAAGGGGACGACGCGGGGCAGAGGGGAAGGCGACCAAAGTTTTTTCCAGGAAAGGGCGCAAGGCAATAACTCCGTTATTCCGACCCCACAAATCCTGGCGCTTGCACTCGCCTCGCACGGCCCTGGGGGGGGGGGGAGGAAGCCTCCCCAAGAGCGGCGGGTGCGGACCCGACCCATCTGCCCCGCAGCGCGCGGCCTCTCCGAGGCCAAGCCACTGCCCCCGCGCGCCGGAGTGCACCCACGTGTGCGCCGTGCAGACACGACCACCAGACTGCGCGGGGTGCTCAGCCATCGCCATCGTCGCTGGACGACTCTGCCAAGCGGGCTTCGACGACCGATTGTCGCTCGAGCCGGGAAACGTTCAGGTATCTTATCCACGCGGGCTGATGCCAGCCGCCCGCGCGAGGAAGGTCGGCGACCGGTCCGCCCCCTGCAGCAATGTCCTGCGCGTGCCCGCGCCTGACACGCGAGTGCCGAATGACTCCGCGTCATGGCGCCCCACGTCGCCCAGCGCGCGGCGCAGCCGAGCACGTGCCGCGCCCGGGGAGCACGCAGCCCAGACGGGCCGGTGAGCTGGCTTGCCAATTAGCCAGGCCCAAAGAACGTGCACGGGACAGGTGGCCGCGCACTCATCGCGCCAGCACTGCCGCGCCAACACAGAGCGGCTCTCGCGATTCTTTCTTCCGGAGAGGCGCAGCTCGATCACTTGATCGCCGACGACGAACGCGGAAGCCACGCAAGCTGCGGCCGCGCCATTTTCAAACCGCACCGCGGGCAGCGCCTCCGAAGGTAGCCCAAGGATGAATGCGTAAGCCGCCAGGCACAGCATGGCGAAACGGCGACCCTCGTCACTGACGCGCAGGTGCGACACCAGGCGGGCGACGTCGCGGCCCTGAAGGGCCATGCGCGCCTTTGCTCGCCAGCCCGAACGCTTCTCGATTGCGTTCTTAGCGCCGCGAACCGCCAGGCGCCTGAAGACGTCCACGGGCCTTGCGCGCCAACTGCCACTGCGGGCGGACGCGCGCGCTGCCGGAGGATGAGAGGTGGGCGCGGGCCTGCTCGCCACGAGTCGGCCCGCGGCCCGCGCATGTCTCGGCGACCCTCGCGCCCGGCGATTGAGAGCGCCCACCGGACAGCGGACACAGGGTCCGCAGGGGGAGCTGCACGGGCCCTGCCGCTGTCCTGGCGCCCGCGTTAAGCGCCGCGATCGACATGCCGCGATTTCGCGCGCGCACCGCGGAGGATGACGAGACTGACTCGCTCGACAGCGTCCGCCTCCGCCTCACGATGCCGGTCCTGCTCTGGCCGACGCGGAGCACCCGCGGGCGAACGCGGAACGCGCGAGAAGACGCGGGGGCAATCCCGGGCGAGGGAGCGGGCGCAGGAGGGGCGCCCATGCCGCCCCTGCCCAGTTCAGCTGGCGTGCCGCCGCGCTGGGCTGCCGTGATAGCCGCGCGGGCCACCTCACGGGCGTCGCTAGATTTTGCCGCGGCGCCCCTGAAGTCTGCCATGGTGACGTCAAAGACATCGCTCACGGCGTCGGCGCCGTTATCGGCAAGCAGCGCGGCAGCGGCGAACACAGGACTAGGGCGTGCCTCAGGGCACACCACGCGAAGCTGAGCGATCAATCCAGCCAGCGCCATCACGTGAAGACCGAAGAAATTCAAGGTGCGCCGACAGTACAGAGATGTTCGCGCGCGCAGGGCGAAGCGCGACCGCGACGAGCGCGAGGGAGGACACCAACACCTGCCCAGCCTGGCGGGCGCACCCTGACCGATGAGGGAAGGCCAGATACAATGCACACGTGCCCGGCGCCTGAACCGGCCATGGCCGGCGATGAGGAAGCCACGCACTCGGGTCGAACCACGCATCGCCCAGCGCCGGGGGAATCCACTCCGCCCCCATGCCACACAGCAGGGAGTACGACTCGCACGAGGGCAGGTCGGCGATATTGTCCGCCGACGCCACACGATGAACGTGCAGATTGCAATTCGCACCCAGCGCCATGCGCCAGATTGAGTGGACCAGGCAAGTGTGGTCAGTTTGCTTCGCCGCACCGGACCGGACGGCCCACTCGCTGCCTGAATTATCCGCAAAGATACTCACGCAACGGCCCGACAGGAGCGGCTCGAAGGTGGCCAGGCCCAGCGCGATGCTGAGCACCTCCTGACCGCCGATTTGATTGTCGCGCCTCTCCTTAAAGAGCCGAAGCAGAAGCTCAGGGGGGGCGACGTCGTTGAAGACAATACGCCCGTCAATGAAAAGAACCGCGGCCACCCTGGCTGCATGGCCCCGCGCGTCGGAGAGCAATTGTACAGACCTGGTGTCTGGCGCCTGCCACTCACGAGTCGTGGTGAGATTACTGGCAAGCGCTTCGTGCCACCATTGCAAACAGACTCGCCGGTGCGCCGGGATACTCGGATGGCGCGCCCTCGCGTGCTCAAGCAACGGCGGGAGCAGCGCACGCCCGAAGCGCACGCCCGAACCGCCCGAAGGTGTTTGAGGCGGCCCAACAGAAGCGGCCTGCCAACTTGGACGCGCCCGCGCTCGAGCGTGCCCTCTTGAAAGGCAGCGGCGATCTCGGCGCGCCACCGGGCGCGCGTATCTGGCAGTTGCCAACACACGAGGCCTCGCTCGTCAATCGCCACAGACAAACCTAGGACTCCGATCGGGTTGTCGAACAGCAGCTTCACGTCGGCCACGGCGCTAGGACCGAGAATGGTTCCTACCAGTTCAGCGAACTGTCGCATTGCGTCGCGCAGCCCTTTCATCCGTTCAGGGCAAAATCAATCGCCCACATATCGAAGGACGGGAACGAAGTGGAGCCTGCGGACCAGCGCTGTCAGCATCGCGCCGATGCGCTCCCAGCTGCGAATGGAGGAAGTCGCACCGAATGGGGCAGCGAAGTGCTGAGCCACGTAGACGCAGGTGCCCACGAGGAAGGCGACCCACGCGAAGACGCGATGCTCTGGCATCAGCGGCACAAGCCGGAACGCGGCGTCAACGTCTGCCTTCCAAAGCCCGGGCGCTTCGCCCACGCGCGCCACAAAGGCTTTGCAAGTGCCGAACAGAGGGTCAATGGCCTCATGGCCGAGACGCTCCGTCGGCAGAGACACCGCAGCTTCTCGGAGCCGCCCTCTCTCGTTTGCCGGACGCCGAACCGCGGCGTCAAAACAGCCCCGTCGAGCTCGACCGCGCTGATCGGCGAGGGGTGGCTCATTCGGCCAAGCTCCGCTTCGGCGACAGTTTTGGTGAGAATCTCGAAGGCGTCGCTGGACTCCTTGAGTGCGCCGAGCAGCGCGGCGTTGCCTCGCGCTGCTCCCGCTGCCAAGTCCGGCAGGATGAGCGGTTCAGGGAAAAATTCTGGCCGCCCGTTCCCCGCGCACGGGAGCGGACCCACGAAAGGCGCGCCGCGCCGAAAAAAATCCAAGCAGGCCGCGTCCTCGTAGCCGACTTCGTCGAGCAATTCGACGAGAAGGGGGCCGTTGATCGACCCTGCGATCGCACGCACATTGGCATCGCAGCCCGCAAACCAGGGCGCCGTCGCTCCAGAGGCGCGTAGCTCGGCGTCCCTGGTCCGAATTCGCTCGAGGGTCGCTCGCCGCTCACGGCGCACCTGCCGCTCCGAGCGCGCAGCAATCCAATCGATCGCCGCCGAAACGTCGCCGGGCACCACCACGGCCTTTCCAAGGGCCTCTCTGTCCTCGAGGGCGTGAGAACCCTCCGCGATGCCCGCGGCGCTTGCGGCGCTCGCACTCTGCCCACGCGGCTCCGCGGCGCTTTTTCCTGCTCTCTTGCCGACTGACGCAGCAGCCTGCGCGACAATGGCAACGCAACGCGAGAAAAGGGGATTCGGCGACGCGGCCTGAAGGGTCCGATCGCATTGCGCTTCCGCCACGCGGAGAAGCCCACTGTCAGGCGACAGCGCAGCTACGTTCACCTGCGCGCGGACACGCGCCCGAGAATATCGCGCTGAAGCATGGCGCGAAACAGCGGCCTAGAAGCCTGCCACGCCGGCGGCGGCACGCTCAGCCCACGTCCTCCGCACGAGGTGGTGGTAGACCAAGGCAACCTGGGCCTTCCGCCCCTGCTAAGGGGCATCCAGTGCAACCTGGGCTAGCGCACTCTCGCCGGCGACCAGCGGACGGGCGCCCATGTCGACTCGCCTGTAGAGAAACGCGGTTGTGGGCCATGCCTCGTGTACGAGATCTGATCTGTGACAGCCGCCGCCACGATCCACGTGGCGAAAGCTTGATGCAATGGCGTCCACGCCAGAAGCGGCTGACTCTCCGCCGCGGTTCCCCACCGCAACGCTCTGGCCAACGCGGCTGCCTCTTTTGACTCGGGCTTGTCATCGTCGGGAAAACAGCCCAAGCCACGCGCGCATAGCAGCTGAAACTCCGCAAGCTCTGTGTGAATGAACAGGTGCGCGATGCCCCTGGCTGTAGCGCGCTGTACCTCGGTGGCCAGCGCATCGGTCTTCGCCGACCTGAGCAAACAGTTGAAACGCGCCAGCGCGCCAGGGCAAAGCCGTGCAGCAGCCTCGGCCACAGGGACTGCAGAAGGTCCCTCAGGGTGATCTGGGCCAGGCCCGCACCGATGTCGACATGACCGCCTGTCGGCGCGGGACCAAGATTCTGCAGCAACCCAAGCGAAACAACGCGCCAAAGCCCGCGCAGGTCACGCGGCCCCCGGCAAACTCGCCTTGGTGCCCGCCACCGTCGCGCGATCCAGAGCGCGCCGCAGGACGCCCTTCGTCAGCGCTGGCGCGCCGTCGGTGTCCTTCAAATCCTCGACTTGAATGTTGGCCAGATCTTCTGCCGTCATAAACCCACTGGCTGCCAGGCAATCAACCGCGCCCTTAAAACGGGATCTCACTCCACTTCGCGCCCACAACAGGGTCAGTTTGCAAGAGGGCAAGCATCGCCAACGCAAGCTCAGCGCCACAGGACGACGGCGAAAGCTGCACGCCAGCTGAAGCCCGCGCGCCTGCACGCCGGCGCGCCATGAAGACGAGAGGAAAGCTGCACGTCAGCTGAGGGCGACTATCGGCCACAAGGGGCACAACGCAGCAAGCTCCCCTGAGCCACCCAGTACCTGCGACCCCAGCGGGCACGGTCGCAGCGGACCCGAAAGCAAACGGCCGCTATGTGGGCCACGGGGAAGGCCCCAGCGGGCGCGAGGTCCGGACGGACTGAGCGAGCCCAAAGCGAGGACCTGATGAGAGGGCCCCTTTGGGCAAGTGAACTCAGCAGGCTGCGATGGGCCGCAACAAAGCCACTATGGGCCGAACGAAGACGCTACGGGCCGAAGAACGCCCCAGCGGGCGGAGGGCCAAAACCCCACACACGGTACGGTATTCATACCCCGCCCCAGTACCACGCGGAGGAAGCACGGCACGGCACCTCACCACACGACGCAAGCAGGAAGCGGAAGCGGGTCGGCCAGCGCGCGGCCGACCAGCCGAGCGAGGGCGCCCCAGCGGCCAGCCGCGGGGTCGTTTCCCGTGCGGGCGAATTTGTGCCAAGCAATAGCTCTGTAATGCCGACCCAATCAACGACATCAGGCCGAAGTCTCTCGAGAAGTGTTACCAAGCCCGCCCGAATCGCTATCTTGAGCAATTGTGCAGCAGGAGCAGTGGTTCAGAGCCGTCCTGCACGTCAGCAAAAAGCTGTCAGCAGATAGTTTGCTCAATCTGCTCACACCTGCGGAGCTGCTACAGCGTGGCCCCTCACAGGGGGGGGTGCATCTCCCAGCCCGCCTCGATCCCCAGATCGACGGGCATCCCAGGCACCACAATACCCGACGGTGAAGTGGGCAGTGGTGTGAAGGACTCCTCGGCGAGTTCGGCCTCACCTGTTCCTGTGTCGGCCCGTGCTGTTGGCGCCAAGGTCGACGGGGTCGGGGGTGCTCCCCGCGGACACAGGGCACCGGAGCCAGCGCAGCCCCAGGCACCACTTGGCGGCGGGCCATGTGGCAGTGAAGCGCGGCCAGGCGCAAGGTGCAGACGCAGGCTAGGACACCAACAGCATCATCACAGATGAACCAACCAACCACCAGGTCCACGGTAGCATACCTGGAGTTGTTCCTCGGCCCCACCTGTTCCCTCCCGCCTCGGCCTACTCATCGACAACAAGAAGTTGTCAGAAACGTCGTGATCTGGGTCTACGGCCGACGACGGAGGGTGAGCGGGACCGCTTCTCCGAGACCGTCGCCGCACCCAAACCAGCGGCGACAGCAGAAATATCCCCTGGGACTTTCTTCTACTGCTGGATGTTGCCTTGGCTACAGCGGAGTAGACTGCTCAGCGACACGCGCTCGAGGCGCGGAGATCATGGCTAGGGCACCGCGTGGCGCAGAGGCCACCGCAGGCCCATCGTGCTGCACGGGGATTCTCGCCAGGCAAAACTTCCACGGGCCGCCGCCTCCCGTGACGTGTGTGCCACAGGCAGCACTGGACCGCCTAAAGCCCGACACGACTAGAAGCGCTAGCAAGAGGTATTTCTGGCACGCAGTTGATGGACCCCACAGTCGGCAGGACTGGCCACTGTCAGATGGCTCGCTCCGCGTGTTGGCCCGTATTTTTCTCTCGACGTTAATGTCAAGTGTAGTACCAGTCCACGTCAGTACAGTGCCGCTGCCTCTGTTGGCCAAGGCCACGCGCGGATTCCGCTCGATCGGCCTGTCCTGCCCCCTGTCTTATCGGTGAGGGTGGAAGGCCAGAAAGAGGTCCACAGTATTATTCTGGGGGGCGTAGAACGAACGCGAGGCCTCCTTTTTGAAGCTGCCGAGTTCTCGTCTGGCACAAAAGGGGTCTGGCGCCAGACGGTCCGAGCCGAGGCAGAGATCATCTGAGAGCGGGCCTCAGCTACGCTTCTCTGGGATATCTTACAAAGGCTGCGAACTGGTCAATGTGTTATTGCTTCGTGCTCGATGCCTTGCCCCTGGTCTCCCCCCCGCCACGGCTTGACTTGCTATTGCCTTCGACCGATCGGCTAGGCTCGTTGCGATGAAGGGCTCCTTCTCTGGGCCCGCTTTCGCTAACTCCGGCCTCCTTGCGAGGTGCCCGTTGGCTACTACGCGAAGGCGTGTCCTCATCACCGAGCCTTTAAATGAGCTTGCGTTCCCTCCGCAAGACTCCCTCGACAAGGGCCTCGTTGATTCCATAGTCTGTGCTGCGGGGTCCCCCTTGGCAGCTATTCTCTTGCACAGGGTGTCTAGAGCTCCGACCACTTTATTTCGGCGTCGTCGTCGCTCCCCCCAGCTGCCTTGTGCCCTTCATGTGTCGCTATATGTGTCGCTGTGCGCCTTGTGCCTTCCTGTGCCGCTATATGTGTCGCTGTGTGCCGCTATGCGTCTCCATGTGTGCGTCGCTATGTGTCGCTGTGTGTCGCTATGCGTCGATAAGCGTGTGTCGATATATGTCTCTATACGTGGATATGTGTCGACATGTGTCGCTATGTGTCGCTCCCCAGCACCCCAGCGCACCGCCCCCTTCGCCCCGACTACTTTATTTCGGCGTCGTCGTCGTCGTCGCCCCCCCCCCCCTCTCCCTCTCCTCAGCAGCCCAACGCGCTGCCCCCTCCGCCCCGACCACTGTATTTCGGCGTTGTGTCGACATGTGTCGCTATGTGTCGCATCCGAGCACCCCAGCGGACCGCCCCCTCCGCCCCGACGACATTATTTCGGCGTCGTTGTCGCCCCCCCTCCCCTCCCTCCCTCTCCTCAGCAGCCCAGCGCGCTGCCCCCTCCGCCCCGACCACTTTATTTCGGCGTTGTGTCGACATGTGTCGCTATGTGTCGCTCCCCAGCACCCCAGCGCACCGCCCCCTCCGCCCCGACGACTTTATTTCGGCGTCGTCGTCGCCCCCTCCCCCCCCCCCCCTCTCCCTCTCCTCAGCAGCCCAGCGCGCTGCCCCCTCCGCCCCGACCGCTTTATTTCGGAGTCGTCGCCCCCCCCCCCCCCGCTCCTTCTCCTCAGCAACCCAGCGGGCCGCCCCCTCCGTCCCGACGACTTTACTTCGGCGTCGTCGTCGCCCTATTTCGGCGTTGTGTCGACATGCGTCGATTTCCCCAGCAGCCCAGCGCACCGCCCTCTCCGCCCCCACCACTTTATTTCGGAGTCGTCGTCGCCCTAGTTTGGCGTTGTGTCGACATGTGTCGCTATGTGTCGCTCCCCAGCACCCCAGCGCACCGCCCCCTCCGCCCCGACGGCTTTATTTCGGCGTCGTCGTCGCCCCCCCTCTCCCTTTCACCCGCCCCGACCACGTTATTTCGGCGTCGTCGTCGCCCCCCCGTCCTTTTCCCCCGCCTCCGCCTCCGCCTCCGCCTCCGCCTCCGCCTCCGCCTCCGCCTCCGCCTCCGCTTCCGCCCCCGCCCCCGCCCCCGCCACCGCCCCCGCCCCCGCCCCCGCCTCCGCCTCCGCCTTCGCCTCCGCCTCCGCCTCCGCCTCCGCCTCCGCCTCCGCCTCCGCCTCCGCCTCCGCCTCCGCCTCCGCCTCCGCCTCCGCCTCCGCCTCCGCCTCCGCCTCCGCCTCCGCCTCCTCCTCCTCTTCTCCTCTTCTTTTTCTTCTTCTTCTTCTTCTTCTTCTTCTTATTCTTGTTATTATTATTCTTCTTATTCTTCTTATTATTCTTCTTATTCTTCTTATTCTTCTTCTTCTTCTTCTTATTTCTTATTATTATTCTTCTTCTTCTTCTTATTATTCTTATGATTCTTATTCTTATGATTCTTATTATTCGTCTTCTTCTTATTATTATTCTTCTTCTTCTTCTTATTATTCTTCTTCTTCTTCTTATTCTTATTATTATTAGTAGTATTATTATTATTCGTCTTCTTCTTATTATTCTTATTAGTCTTCTTATTCTTCTTATTCTTCTTCTTATTCTTATTATTATTCGTCTTCTTCTTATTATTAGTCTTCGTCTTCTTCTTAGTTTTCTTATTATTATTCTTCTTATTCTTCTTATTCTTATTCTTCTTATTCGTCTTCTTCGTCTTCTTCTTCTTATTAGTATTATTATTCTGCTTCTTCTGCTTTTTCTTCTTATTCTTCTTATTATTCTTAGTAGTCTTCGTCTTCGTCTTCTTATTCTTATTATTCTTCTTATTATGTTTATTATTCTTCTTCATATTATTCTTCTTCTTCTTCTTCTTCTTCTTCTTATTCCTCCTCCTCCTCCTCCTCCTCCTCCTCCTCCTCCTCCTTCCTCCCTCCTCCTCCTCCTCCTCCTCCTCCTCCTCCTCCTCCCTCCTCCTCCTCCTCCTCCTCCTCCTCCCTCCTCCGCCTCCTCCTCCTCCTCCTCCTCCTCCTCCTCCGCCTCCTCCTCCTTCCTCCTCCTCCTCCTCCTCCTCCTCCTCCTCCTTCTCCTCCTCCTCCTCTCTCCCTCCTCCTCCTCCTCTCCTCCTCCTCTCCGCCTCCTCCTCCTCCTCCTCCTCCTCCTCCGCCTCCTCCTCCTCTCCTCCTCCTCCCTCCTCCTCCTCCTCCTCCTCCTCCTTATTATCCTCCTCCTCCTCCTCCTCCTCCTCCTCCTCCTCCTCCTGCCTCCTCCTCCTCCGGCACTCCTCCTCCTCCTCCTCCTCCTCCTCCTTATTATCCTCCTCCTCCTCCTCCTCCTCCTCCTCCTCCTCCTCCTCCTCCTCCTCCTCCACCACTCCTCCACCACCTCCCCCTCCCCCTCCACCACCTCCCCCTCCCCTCCACCTCCCCCCTCCCCTCGCCCTCCCCATCCTTTCCCCGTGCCTCCCCTCCCCCGCCCCGCTCCACAATTACTCAATATGAATACTACGTTCCTCCTTCCCCTGATGACGCGTTGGGAGATGATGCT